TGAGTAAAGAAAACGCTAATTGATGATAAAGAAGGGACTGCATGCTACGCTATGCTACAGGAATATGTGTTGAGCTGTTGCTAAAGCTTAGACAAGCTTTATTCACCAAGGATTTAAACACGGATATAACATTCTTGATTAAGCAAATCATTCAATAAAACATTATTTGGCAAAATAATGTTTTATTCACCTCATGGATTTGCATTGTGAATTGGTCTGAAAACATTCCAATTTCTTTAAAATTAGTGAAAAGCTAATTTGATCATATCCCAAATTATTCCAGATAAACTTTGGTTTCAAACACAGAATCCATCTTAAACTGTAATATGTTTTTCAACCGTTTTCTTCTTCCTCTTTGTACATAGTAGTTAGTTTAGTTGAGTTTTACTAGTGTTAGTTGAGAGTGTTAAACTGAAATATGTTTGACTTGGAGCTGAATGATTGTTGTTAATAAAATCTTATATTTTAAACAGAAGTTGGGGTGAATTTATTCCATGTATGTGCAGAAATAACTGTTTGACCATGATTAGAGCTCGAATCACTCTTTCATCTATTGTTCTAACACAGAGTTATTAGGACTGTGTGTCATAAACAGTATATAACAGCTGAAATATTATCTGATTAAATAAGATATTTTACCATCCCTAAAGGGCATGGCAATAAACATCTTAAAGTATCAGAAACATAAATTCCCAGCGGGCTGGGAATAGAATGTGCCTATAGAATCACAACATTTATAACGCGTCCCTGATTGGTGGGCCTATTGAATCACATCAATGCTTATAAATATTTATTTCACATCATGTGCTCCATCCAATGCAGATCATTGGATCCATCCACATCAAGTGAAGACTAGTGTAATTGGATGAGTCGTATTACGCAAACACTCATTGGTCAGCTAAAGGAAATCATCAGAAGAAAGCAGGTGTTCTTCAAACTGCAAACGTGAATTGTCTATGCCATGCTACAATTTCGGATTCAGAAAAAGATGTTGAAATGTCTGAAAGGTCGGACACAGGCGAGAACGTATCGGGAGATGGAGAAGGAGACCAACAAGACCTCCCTCATCCTTGGCCTTATCTCAAAAAAGTTTTCAAAATAGTCAAAAATTGAGCTTTCAATTCATCTGGCTGTTTATTTCTAAAGGTTAATTTATACTTTTATACTTTAAGTAGTGTTTGGAGCACATCATTTTTCACTTTTACTAGAGTAAAGAAGTCAAGTTGATACTTTAAATTTACCAGAGAGTTTTAAACTGCAGTGTCTATACTTCTACTTAAGAAACAAATGTGTGTACTTTTGACACCACTGTGTCCAGTGAAGGTGAAGAATGATGAGGTGTGTATGCGTGGGGCACGTTTTGGGTTGGTTGTCTATGATGCGGGGGGTTCGATAAGCACCTAAGATGTCTGTAATATGTGGTGGTGCGCTGTCACCACTGGTTCAAGATGTGTAGTCACTATTTTTCTGTGTGATGTGTGAACATATACTACTGAGAATTGCATAGCTGTATCTTCTGGGCCGATTTATGGAACTGTCGCCGTATCCTGAACCTTAATCAAGTGTCGTACTTCATATGGGGCCCACCCAGATAATGTTTACGGGCCCATTGTTGTGTCGTTATGCCACTGACCGGGATGCTACACCTTCTA